AATGTTGTGATAATCAAGGTTGTGCTGGTATCTATCTCTATTGTACATTGATTTACATTTATATTCTTAGGATCTACACTAGCATCTGACACATTGAATGTGATTAATCAAGACTGTTGAATGACTAAATGAATAAATGAGTAAATTAACCAAATTATGATTACAGTAATGAGTGAGTGACAGAGAAGAGTACCAGTCACTTCTGATTTTTACTTGCCTGGCATCTCACCTTTGAAATGTGGAGTGGGGAAACAAACGTGAGCACTGAGGAGATAGGATAGGTCCATGAGGAAAGAGAGCTCATCTCCTTCCTGGAGTAGAATTTGCATGACAGAGAGCCTAGGAACAGGGAAATGTAAGTGTTCATGTACTAACTCTAGGTTTTTATCTAGACTTAGCATTGTTTCAATAAATGTTTCTTTATTTGGTATATGCCCTTAGAAAAATGTTTGTTGCTCCTTGTACTTCCATTCCTTAATTATGTGCCCCTATTAATGTTTCCTAATTCTCAGTACTGATTTCAATAACTTGAGGAATTTGTTTTATGAGAATATCAGTTCCTAGCCCATCCCTGTAGAAATTCTATTTAATTTATTGAATTCAATTAAAAGTAACTAAAAGTGATGGTCTTGTTATAATTTGTGTATAAAGTGTCCCCCAAAAGACTCATGTGTGGACTTTTTCCTCAGCTCTTGGATACAATCATTGAGAGGTGATTGGAACATGAGGTTGCTAACTTCACCAATGGGATAATCCATTGATGAGTGCTGGTAGAAAGCCTGGCTGGGGAATGTCATTGAAGGATATATTTGATTTGTCCTCATCTCTCTCTCTTTTTCCCTCTCTCTCTTTCATCTATCATGAGGGAGCAGCTCTGCTCTGCCATATATTCCCCACCATAACCTTCTACCTCAGCCACAGCTCAGAAGCATTTTAAGGACAAAATCCTTATGTATTCGGGCTCAGTTTGTATTCTCTCCTTTTTATTTTTTCTTGTTCCTGTGACTCATGAATCCCTACATTGAGGCTGAGGTGTGACAAAAACAAACGCAGTCTGTTACTGTGAATCCCTGATAGCAGTCAGTGGCTTTAAAGATGCATATGAGCCCATAATAGAGAAATAAAATTTTGTTTTCTTAGCATCCATATTTCTGTAGTGAAACCTTGGCTACCTTGACTGATACAATTATTACACCAACTCTCTTCAAAATAATCTATGAATTAAATGCTAATAAAAGCTTGAACTGAAAGTTCCATTGTTGGTCAATATTTTGCAGAAACTTGACATTTTTATATAAAATTTGTAGTAATGAATAGTATATTAAATGACATGAAAAGAGTGCTAACAAAAGCTATTCATGAATTTGAACTTATTAAACTTAAGTACACGGTTCAGAAGACACCTTAATGCAATAATAAATCAAAAGTGTAAACAGAAAGTCACTGTTTTTAACAACCATCACTGGGTATGTAAGAAAAAGTCACAAAAAGGTAGACAGAAAAATTAGTATTTTGCAAAAGAAAGAAGCCAAAATGACAGACTCCATGTGGTCAGACAATAGAAGAATGCAAAATGACGTAATAATGAGATGAAATTTTTAAATCACCTAGCAGGATTATTAATCTGAATTTTAGATTGATTTAACAGTCTACAAAAGTGAGTTATGATTAGCTTTTGTGTCAACTGATTTTGTTATAAACTTTTATTGGTAATATAAAGGCATCATCCACTTTTGGAAACCAATTTGGAGTTAACTTTTAAAATTGAATATGTATATACATTAGGATCCCATCATTACAGTCCTAAAAAATGTATGACTAAACATATTTGTAATATACATAACAGAATGAATTTAATAGCAATGCTGTCTAAGTACAACCTACATTTTGATAATAGAAGTGAATAAATTTTGTTATGTTCATAAAATGAAATATTACACAGTAATGCAAAATTGTGAGCTATTGGCGCACCCAACATGGATAGACCTTTACAGCATAATGTTGAATAAAAAATACAAAAAACGAGATAAGTTTTAATACTATTATCTTATTAAGTTTTGAATAGGAACAACAAAATAATATATTGTTTAGGGGGTTTATGTAAGACAGAGAGATAATGGATAAAAAGATAATTAAAGCAACGTAGTGGATAAATGCCAACTTCAACATGTTGATTCTCTCTGAGAAGGGGAGGAATTGGGATAAGGAAAATGTTACTCATGTAGCTATAAATAATAAGTAGCATTTTCCTTCTTGGTTTGGGTAGTGAGTTCAGGAGAAAATGAGCCAATATTGGATCTATGATATGAACATGTCTTTCATAAAGGGTTTTCTTCAACTTAAATCTATTAAAATTAAAAGAAGAAAAAGAAAATCCCTGGTTTGAGTGTAGCTCAAGTTGAGGATCAAAGCACTAAATTAATCATCCCTTGCTGCTTCATGCATTTTCTGACATTTAGCAGAGAAAGAATCTCTTGGTTTCTGATTAGAAACACAAAATCTCAAGCCTGATGTAGACCTACAGAACTAGAACGGGTATTTGTCAATTTGTCAATTGGGTGCACATCAAACTTTGAGAAGTACTGTGCTACCCTATCTCCAATATGCCTGACAGCATTTCTAGTATTCTTGAAAATAATTCAAAGCAAAAAATAAAAGTTTAAATATATCATGAATAAAAATTATTTTTACTTTTTGTTTGAATGATTTTTCCAACAAATTAAACTTCATACTATTTTATGCAAGAAATACATAACAAATAAAATAGTCAATGTTTTATATGAAGAATTTCACCTGCTGAAAGGTTAAATTTGATGTTATGATGCTAACATAAATAATGAATAAAAGAATTATTGATTAGGAAGGTAATGGTGCCTAAGAATAGAAACATAGAAATTGTACTGCAAAGTTCAGTTATATTCAACTAGCTGAGAGAAAATTAGAACTATAAATGAGATACTTTATTTTGAGTACTGAAACTTCAAGGATGTAAAGACCTTAGCTAATTTTTTTATAAGAGTATCTTTTTTATTATTAGCATATTATAGTTGTGACACACAAATGCTTACACTATATCTTAATTAGATTCACACCATCCATCTTTCTCCTTTATCCCCCACCCTTCTTAGAACAATTTCAACAGGTTTCATTTCTGTTTCCATACATGAATACAAAATACTTCCACCACATTCACCATCCTTTTTCACTCTTTACTTATACACTCCCCCTTCCACTGGTACCTACTTACCTCTGGACAGAGCCTGTTTTATCTTCCTGTCCTTCATTTATTGAAAAAGAAAATTTTTGTTAGTTTATGAAAGCAATACAAGGAGGTTCATTATGACATTTCCATACATACATATATTATACCTTAAAATGCATCATTGCCTCCATTATTATACCTTCTATCCTGTTTCCCTTCTTATTGTGACTTCCAACAGGTTTCAATGTTCCATATACATATTTGCATAGAAAGTACATCAGCCACATTCACTCTCTTTCTTCATTTACTCTCCCCCTCCCACTGGTGCCCTTCCCTTAACATGACTTCCTTTACATTTCTGACCATCATTGTTTAGGTGACTGTTGTTCAGTGAGAATTCTGCATTGGTATTTTACCTGTAAATATGTTGTGCTTAAGTCAGTCTACCCCCTCAACTACTTTTCCTCACTCTTTTCCACCTATCCTGTGTTGTTCAAGTTTTCAGTGTGTTTCCTTGTGTCCTGTTCCTATATAGATCTATTTCATTATTATTTACTTTCCATAATTCTTTCCTTCTCCCTTAGTCCCACATTTGGAAAAATGATCTGTATAACTTTATATGAACATACAATGTTTGTATTTGTATTAAATTAAAGAGAAAACAGGACACCTTTGTCTTTCTGAACCTGGTTTACTTTACTTAATATGATGTTCTCCAGTCCCATCCACTGTACATAAATACCATTTTCTTAATCTATTCATCACTTATAGAGCACCTTGGCTATTTCCATAGCTTGACTATTGTGAATAATGCTGCAATAACCATGGTGTGCAAGTGTCTTTATTGTAACCTGACTTACATACCTTTTGGTATATGCCTAGGAGTGGTATTGCTGGATCATATGGCAGTTCTAGTTTTAGTTTTATGAAGAGACTCCATATTGCTTTTCATAGAGGTTATACTAATTTACATTCTCACCAACAGAGTATGAAGGTTTCATTTCCCTGAATCCTCATTAACATTTATTGTTGTGTATGTTCTTAACGATAGACACTCTAACAGAAGTTGAAGGCTTTACCACATTTCGTAAACTCAAATAGCTTTTCCTTTCATGTCTCTGGAGAAAACTGAAAACATCAAATGCTCTTGCAGATTCCTGACTCATATCCTCCAGAGTAAGTTTTTTCATGTAATGGAAGAGAAATGGAACATGTAAAGCCTCCACCATGTTTCTTCCACACATACAGATTTTTACCAGTATGAATTTTTTTATGTTTTCTAAAAGAACCTGAAAAACTGAATGTTTTCCCACATTCTTACATTATAGAGCTTCTCTCTACTATGAGTACTTTCATATTTAAGAAGAGAAGTGACCCATCAAACATTCAGAGGTCTTGTTTTCCAATAAGAATGCTTTTATGTTTTTGAAGGATGTTGGGGAAATTGAAGCATTTTTACTTTGGTTACATATGAAGCATTTTCACAGGCTGGGAAGATAGCTGAGGTATAAAGTTTGCATAACACATATAAAGCACTAAGTTTAATCACTTGCATGACAACAACAAAATTCTGCAGTCCTTTTATACCTTTAAAGATAATTGGAACATTGAACATTTTACCACTTTAAAATTTTTTTTGCATTTAAAGGGTTCTTCTGTAATACAAGTTCTATTATGTTTCTTTTTTGCAGTACTGAGGCTTGAACTCATGGCCTTCATCTTGCACCACTCCACCAGCCCTATTTTTCTGAAGGTTTTTTCAAGATAGGGTCTCAGGGAACTATTTGCCTGGGCCAACTTTGAACCATGATCCTCCTGATTTCTGCCACCTGCATAGCTAGGATTACAGGTGTGAACCACTGGCACATGGGTAAGTTCTTTTATGTTTACAAAGAGCACTGTAATAGTGAAAGGCTTTACTCTATTTTTTTTCATTAATAGGGCTCTTCTTTAGTATGAACTCTTTCATGCTTTCGAACATAATTGGTAAAGAAGACTTTACCACACTGTTTACATTCATAGGGCTTCTCTCTACTGTGGACTCGTTCACATCTTCGAAAGCAACTAGAATAAGGAAAGGTTTTACCACACTGTTTACATTCATAGGGCTTCTCTCCAGTATGAATTTTTTTGTGTCTTCTAAATGTACTACCATAATTGAAGGCTTTACCACATTGTCTGCATGTATAGGGCTTCTCTCCCATGTGAGTTCTCACATGTGCTTGAAGGGAACCAGAACACTTGAAGCTTTTACCACATTGTTTACATTCATAGGGCTTCTCCCCAGAATGACTTCACTTATGTCTATGAAAGGAACTGGAAACACTGAAGGCCTTACCACACTGTTCACATTCATAGGGCTTCTCTCCAGTATGAGCTCTTTCATGTCTTCTAAATTCACAGAGAAATTGATAGGCTTTCCCACATAACTTACATTTAAAAGGCTTGTTTTTGGGGTGCTTTAGCATATGTCTTTGAACATCTTTGGCAAAAAAGAAGGCTTTATCACATTGTTTACATTCATAGGGCTTCTCGACAGCATGAACTCTTACATGTATTTTACATGCTTTCCCACCAGCCTTACATTTAAAACATCCATTCCCACTGTGTGCTGTCATATGTTTTTGAACATTTTTTTAAATAAGTAAAAGTCTTACCACATTGTTTACATTCATAGGGCTTCTGTTCAGTATGAGTTCTTTTATGAACTTGAAGGTACTTGGATGAACTGAAGGATTTACTATATTGCTTACATTTATGGGACTTCTCCCCAGTATGAGTTTGTTCATGTACTTGAAGGGAAACAGAATATTTAAAGTTTTTACCACATTGTTTACATTTGTAGGGATTCTGTCCAGAATGAGTTTTTTCATGTTTTCGAAGGTAACTAGGATAACTGAAGGCTTTCCCACATGTTATGCGTTTATAAGGCCCATTTTCAATGCGTGTTACTATTTCTCTTTGATTACTTTTCAGAGTAATAAAGGATTTCCTGTCATCTATAAATTCATAGGGTTTTCCTCCATTTTCCTCACTGTTATATGGTTTAGGTTCAGAGTGAGATATGATGCACCTTAGATTTCTTCTAGAATTTTTGTTCTGGTTTTCAATATCCTGCTCTTCCCACTTGCTACAGCAACCAAGTTCCTGAAGACTTCCTCCATCACATCCCTGTAGAGGTTCTTCTGGGAAGGACCCAGCAAAGCCCACTCATCCTGGGTGAAGTTCACAGCCACATCCTCCAAGGTCACTGAGTGCATGACTGGCTTCTGGGGTGACCCTGGCCCGCCTTAGGAACTTCCCAGCACCCGTAGGTCAAGGAGATAGAGGGTGGTAGGCAACCTGGGTCTTCCCCTTAACTAATTTTATAGTTAAAATTACTCTCTCAGAATCCAATATGCCTTTTATTCTTTTTATAGGCACAATACATTAATCAGATAATTTTCCATACCTACTAATACATTATATATTTTAACATAAATAAATGCCATTGTCTATAAAAAGTCTAAGGTGAGAGAAGCAACTTCAATTTGCTTTCTTGGATTTAAATAATATTACTCCTTTGTCAACTACTCATTCATTTATTTCATTTTCACTTTTACAGAGCTTCAGGCAACTACTTTCTGGCATTAGAGAAATTGATTAAACATATCCATATCTTCATTGCACTGAGTCTGGTAATAGAGTTTTGAATATGAAACTAAAAACACAATAAAAGAAAAACTAAATATATTGTACTTCATCAAAATGAAGAACTCTTGTGTGTCTAAGGACAATGTTAAGAAAGTGAAATGAATTACAAAATGGAAAAAATATTTGAAAATTATGTTTGTTATAGGATAAATATTGAAAATACATAAAGAAATATTATAACTCAACCACAAAAAGTCACACAATAAAAAATGAACAAAGTAATAGAACATGCATTTCTGCAAAGAAAGTATATAAATAGCTAATGAGTATAGTAAAAAATGCCAGCACCATTAGTCATTTAAGAAATTTAAATCAGAAGAACAGTGATATTACTTTGCAGACACTATGATGTTTACAATAAACAACAAGTATTAGTGAGGATATGTAAAATGGTTAGGCCATTGTGGGAAACCATTTGCCAGTCCTCAAAACATTAAACATAGAATTACCAACCCACCAGTTCCACCTTCCAAATTAAAATCAGGTAGACAAATGATACCCTGTGCATAAGAGTTCTTGCCAACGGTACTCACAATAGCTGAAAAATGTAAACAACTCAACGTTCACGAACTGAAGAATGGATAAGCAAATGGGGTATGTTCACATGGGATGTTAGCCAGTCATAAAAAGTAATGATATTTTAATACAGGCTACAATATGACTGAACATCAAAAACATTATGCTAAAATGTCTGGAAAAAAAAGTAAAATATACTGTGATTATACTAAACAATATGCCCAAAATAGGTGAATCCATAGAGACAGACAACAAAGTTTGTGATTACCAGGGCTTGATGGAGGAGGGAGGTACAGTAACTGATGGCTATGGGATATCCTATTGGAATGATAGTGTTTTAGAATAAAAGGAAGGTAATGGCTGTGTAACATTGTAAATGTGTTAGATACACTGTATATGTTGTAATACATTAATGCCACTGTATATTTTGTAATGTATTAATACTACTATGTACTTCATAATGTTTAATTGTATTTAGGTGAATTTTTCTTCAAGAAACAAGAAAATAAGAGTTAGATAAATGTTAACTCAAAGCTGATGTTAGGACAGTAGGCATAGACCAAGCAAAACTTTGTGCATTATTAGGATTTAACGCTGATGTTTTAAAACAAGGTTGAAACCTGTATAAGCCACATACTCTCTTACTAAATTTTTCATTATCCTCTCTTGGTTATAACTGAAATCCAGACTAAAATAGCAATATTTTCCTCTTACTCTCTCTTCCAGTTAGGAATTTGCTTGGATTATTTGTGATTTCCTTCTATAGGAGAACTTCACATAGGAAATTTGAATGTAGCGGTCTTATTTTCTGTCTCCCAAGAAGTCAACTGTCATATTGGAATATTCTAGAAACAACTGGCTTTTTTTCCAGAGTTAATATGTGTTCTTCATTTTCCTTCTCCAAATCATCTCACAGGGAATTAAGATTAAAAACATATGTCCTGCCACTGGTAAAGGAAGACATGTAAATGTGGAGAGTAGATGGTTGAAATATACAAAGAATGGAGTTTGCACCAGGAGAAGACACCTCACCTGTAAGAAGTTCAAATTCATAATTTAGGCACTACACCAGTTGCACCAAATCTACCTGAAATTCATAATTTAGCCCGTAGTCTGTGAGTTTAAAACTTCAACAAATAAAACCACTGTGTTCTAATAAAAACTGTTTCCATACTCTTACTCAAAAATATTTGAAGATAATGCATAGTAGACAAAAGTTTCTTTATTAAAATTTCCTAAATGTTGACAAAAAATACAGCTAGTAATTTGCTATTTTTCCCTTCAGTTGGACTGTAGTGGTTACTCCAGTGACAATCGGCGTGAGTGTGCTTCCATCACAATCACTGTACTAAAAATTGATAATATCAGAGAAGAAGAACCTTTTAAAAGGTACAAGTGGGTACATAAAATGTTCTCTGTTATCATTCTTACTTAAAATTCAGAGGTTCTTGTACCATGAAAATTCTTTTCAGGCTTCAGTTTTGCTCTTGTTGAGTTTTTCTTTCACCCAGTCATGACCTAGTTTCCTCAACTGTTTCAAAACTCTCAATTATGCACTCTTAGGGACAGTAAAAGATGTGCTGAATTCTGACTTGTCTTCAGAGAAATTAAGAGAGGGGAAGTACACAGGATCTGATGGTTTTCTTCAGTACTATCTTTAGAACTTGCTCTCCTCATTTCTCACATTATTGCCAAACCAAGATTGCTCTGTCCCTGTAAATTTCAGACTGCTCATTATCTGCTGTTATTTGGAAATCAGAGATTTTCCAATCTGCTGGATCCTATTCTAGCTCCCTGACTCTATCTTCTTTCTATATGCACAGTATATTCCTCACACGCTTTTTCCTGTTGCCTTAACTCTCATATAATTTTATGACAAAACTATTATGTGTGTTTTCCATTTTAAGTATAATCATTAATTTTTAGTGCTGTGAAGCAAATTATTCACACCCCCCATATTCATATGTTCAAGCCCTGACCACCAATGTAAGGGTATTTTGACATAGGGTGTGTGAGAAGCAATAGGGTTGGATGAGTGTCTAGAGTGAAACCCAGTGATGGTATCAGTGACTTCACAGGGAGAGAGAGAGAGAGAGAGAATAAGGACACAGAAAGTGGTGGTCTACAAACCATGGAAAACTCCTCCCTAGAACTCAACTATGCTGGCACCCTGACCTCTTACTTCCAGGTTCCATTACTTTGGAAAAAATTAATTTCTGTTGTTTAAATGACTCATCCTATAGCATTTTGTTTTGACAATAGAAAATTCAATTCATCAAGACACTTACTTGTCCTTGAAGAATTTTCTCTCATTTTTGAGATGTTTACTTTTCCAGAGATTTGTAGGGAAATAGGAAGATAGTAACTCTCTCTTCAGTAAACTGGTTTTGACAAATTGAGAGTGCCAATTCACAGAAATTTTCAAATGAAATTCTTAGTAAGCATGATGGAGTATACCTGAAGTACCATTACTCAGGAGGCAGAGGCTGGAGGACCACTGGAGTCCAGGAACTCAAGATCATCCTGACTGTTTCACAGAAAGACCCTGTCTCAAAAATGAAATAAAATATAATATAAATTTCTTATCCAGGCTCAATAAAAGTAAAGGAGAATTTTAACATATTAAGTAATTCAAGGCTATCATCCTATTTCATTCGTTCAATGAACTAAAGAATAGATAGCAGTCAACTTTTACTAAAATATTTCAATCTATTGTTCTTGGTGTCTTCTCTGTTTAATGATCCAGATTGAAGCATCTCCGATCTTGCATATACTCTTCTTATAGTAGTAGGTAGTAAAAGTTAGTCTTGGCAAAATCTTGCAATGAGTAGATTCTTCTTGGATGTCATATGCAATGGTTTATTCTCAAATCCTATTATCCAGAGAAAGTGACACAGCCAAGACTGCAATGTGGATGGGAAGAGGTACAAGTCTCTCCCCAGGAGATACTAGAAGCCAAATGAGCACGGGCAGGGTGTGCACCCTATCCTAGCAAGGGCAGCATCTACCAGGGGCACTTACGAAATCTCACATGGTGTTAAGCAGCTTAAACATGAATGAGTTTTGCAAGCAAAGTTACAGCATACCTAATACTTAATGTGAAAAATTATAATAACATGAATAAGACAGGAATGCATGAAAATAATATTATTAGTCATCTCTGTTTTAGTCAATCAATAATTTACAATGTAAAAATAAAATAATCAGGTTAAGCAAAAAAAAGGCAGTGTATTTTCCTTACTTTGGTAATTTTAATTATTCATATTACAATATTTAGAAAGCCCATGATTCTAAAATTAGAAAGATAGATAAAAGACTGTGGAGTGGCTCAAGTGGTAGAGCACCTACCTTGCAAGAGTGAGGTCCTGAGTTCAAACCCCTGTACTGCCAAAAGAAAAAGGATAGATAGATAGATAGATAAGAGAGAGAGACCAAGAACTTAGGAACAAAATGAATTTTTGTAAAGTCTCTCTAAATAAGCTGGTAATGAAACAACAATCTTGCACTATAGTAGGAAAAACTATACAGTAACTTGGAAGAAAAATAAATAAAGATAAAGAACTGCCTGGGAATGGTGACTGATGCCTATAATACATACCAGCTGCTTCAGAGTAGGAGACAGGAGAATCTCAGTTTGAGGACAGCCTTGGCAAAAAGTTAGTGGGAGCCTATCTCAAAGAACAAGTCAATAATGATGATTCATACCTGTAATCCCAGCAATGTGGGAGGCAGAAGTAGGAGGATCACCATCTGAGACTTGCCCTGGGCAAATGTATGAAATTCTATCTGAAAAATAACTAAAGCAAAAAGGGGGTGTGTCTTAAGTGATAGAGTATTTGCCT